GATAGTAAGTTACAAATAAATAAAATATGATTACAGATCGTTAGTTACTAACAGATAAAACATGATTACAAATAGTGAGTTACAAATAAATAAAATATGATTACAGATCGTTAGTTACTAGCAAATAAAACATGATTACAGATAGTGAGTTACAAATAAATAAAATATGATTACAGATCGTTAGTTACTAACAAATAAAACATGATTACAGATAGTGAGTTACAAATAAATAAAATATGATTACAGATCGTTAGGTACTAGCAAATAAAACATGATTACAGATAGTGAGTTACAAATAAATAAAATATGATTACAAATAGTGAGTTACAAATAAATAAAACATGATTACAGATCGTTAGTTATTAAAAAGTAAAACATGATTACCGATAGTTAGTTACTAAAAGAACTCGTTAAGAATTTGAATTTAAGAATGTTCCACCCACGCTGTCTTTCATTTTTGAGGTTTTACCATAAAACTGTTCATTATTGAAAAGGGTACGACCCAACACTTTGTTTGTTTTGAATTTCACGCAAAGCTACACGAGGGCTATCTGCGCTAGCCGTCCCTAATTTAGCAGTGTAAGACTAGAGTGAAGGCACCTAGTCATCACCACCAACTCTTGGGCTAATCTTTTACCAATGAATAGTGGGATTGACCGTCACATTATAACGCCCTCACGGCTGAAAGGACGAGCATGTTTGGTGTTAGAGGGATTCGAACCCGCGACCCTCAGATTGCGAGTTGAGTGCCTTAATCACTTGGCCATGCCGGGCCACGACCGAACAGATAAATATTTTATTTTAATACAGTGTACACTTTACTCTCACAAAATGTCGATAATAAAACTCGGCAAAAACGTCAAACATAGATATCATTAACAGTTTTTTCAAGTTATTTACATGCCTTGGACGTATTAACTCTATCATTGGAGTTAAATAAATAATAAAAAAATCCGTATTTTATTACTTCTGACTTCACAATCGGATGTCTAATTATCTTTCTCTTCAGTAAAATTTTACTACAGTAGTGATTGAGTTATCTTGAAATTATGTGTATGAAGACAATCGTAAAGAATCGCTTTGGGGCCAGACAATTTTCTTATTTTCACTCTTTTCTTAACTTTTCTTTGACTTTGTTCAGTTTGTTTTCATTATAATGTCATGCATTTGAACGACAAAATGAAAACTTTGAGTTAATAAGAATTTGTGTTTTATTATACATCATTCATTTAACTTTGAAAAATCTACATTCTGTTTTATAGTTTACTTTTCGAGTTATTTTATATCGTATTTTTACAGTACGTTTGTGATAGGCGTGTTACAATAAAAAAATGCTTTCGGGCAAATGAAAGTAAACTGTTCAGGTGTTCCCCATTTCATTATTTGTTAAAATATACTGAAATTTGAAAATAAAAACCGACTAACAAAGTTTTTTGGAATGTAGGAAATAATGTTGTTAATTTCAGTTCGTAACTTATTGGTTAATTTCTCGAGGTGCGGATCAGAAAGTCCAAGGTTCGAGTCGTGCTGCCATTGAATATGCTCCGCACTGTCAGCAGTGAGTGCATTACAAAAGTGACAGTCAGTTCCATCATTCGGTTCCAGGAGATTGATAAATTCCTTGTGGCGGGAGGAACTGTTGACTGGCTGCCCTCCCTCTGGTTAATAGTTCAAAATTAAGGGCAGTTGTACTTCAACCTTAGGGTTTCTGACCTGGCCATTTAGCCTACATGTGTATAAAATGCTATTATGGTTGAAAACAACTAGTACCCAACATAGTGAAAATAAATTCCGTTTTTTCTATTCAGCAAATGATGTTGAAACGTTAAAATATAGAGGGCTCCCTCAGAATGTCCTGAAACAAAATTGATTCACATACTGTGTTCATACAAGGTACATATTAGTTTCATAAAATATAAATATATTAGTAGTATAAAATACAGAATCTTTAATGTGATTTTTTCTCATTTTTCAGTGCGACAAAGAAACCCTACTTATAAAAATGCATAACTAATTATTTATAAAATTAAGAAAGTTTGTTTGCCATTCCAAGACAAATGAACTGGGAAGATTAGTAAAGAGAAATTCTAATTTGCTAATTTCAAAAACTGTATCGAGTTATCTATATTCATTAGTGCTAAAATTACTGAAAAATATAGTTCAAGAAAGATAAAAGTATCGTTTTATTACTACATGAAACTTTCCATGGACGTCCGAAGTTTTAATTAACAACATTTCTTTGATACGGCATTTTAAGTTGTTGTTAGGTTTTGTTTTGTTCAGCTTCTTTTTATTGATGGTAACCACAAAAAAATCAGTAGCAACACACACACACATGTTAAAATTACACTTACCTCGTGTATAAAACATAAAATCATATAGTTAATACAACTATCGGGTTGATGAAAAGCTAGCCATAATAATATAAAAAATACGAGTTCAAAAGCAGTCATAGAGTAATGGTTTGCTTTGTTTTAGCGCAAAGCTACACAATGTGCTATCTGAGCTGTGCTCGCCGTGGCGATCGAACCCGGTATTATAACGTTAAAAGTCCTTAAGCCTATCGCCGAGTCACCAGAGAACATCACAGAATAATTGAAAATGATTATTTCCAGCACAGAAATAATTTAGTCACCTGTAAGGAAATGTAAAATTTCATTGAAGATGTAGTTATCTAAGTTCCACATTTCTAAGATCACTCGTGTGTATAGAGATTGACTACGTTATTTCTAAGAATTTTGGAGCCTCGCCACGTGTTACAGTCCATGTTGCCACATTCGTTCATGCTCTATCTGACGACCATGCACCTTGAAAATAGTCCTGCAGAGTAGTTTTCATTGCAACAGGCTCCATTGTAAGACTGCCATGACTAAAGCACACCACTCTTCCCTGTGTGTTTCTATAAGCCATCTAGTATACGAGGACAACGATTTTCTAATGCCTGTTTCAATTGTTTTTTTTTGCATAATAATCCATAGACGTTGAGACTTGGTGGGTATGTTTTCATGTGTAATAACAAGAATACCAGTTTCATTCTCCATCTACTTGAAGTAAGCGACTGTTGAAGAGATATGTCGTGAAAGCAGCTTGTGTACATATGAATTTCTAAATTCTAAATCCCCGATCTTAACATATCTTTGTGATCTAAATGTATGAATATTTTGTCAGAAGGGGTTGTTACATACCTGTCCCAAAAGCAATATTTTCAATGTCATCACACTAACTACAAAACGACAAACAATGTAAAAATATACTTCTGATACATCCCGTCCCACCGTGACTTTATATCGGCTGTAGTTGTCATGTCAATTGCTGATATGCATATTCAGTATCATTTTAATATAACGTTCTGAACCCTAATTTATCAAGTTCTTGTATGTATAACTAAGAGATGAAAACAAAGTTGTCATAGTAACTGTTCTTACTCGGCCTTGGCCAGTGTTATATTTATGGAACAGCCAACTTACTTGTCACGTTAAACTAAACGAATATGTTTAACAGTACCCAACCAATCCAGAAAATTACTAAACAAATCCAATTTGTCATTTTTTTTAAATTAAGCCTTTCCACTTAACCCCAACAACCCTATATCCATCTTTAAGGGCTCATTTAATGTTGTGTGGCAGTTTTGCACATAGAAATAAATTTTGAACACTTAACAACTCATTGCCCACTCAGATGTCATTGTTGTCAAAGATTAGATGCAAGAACAGGAATTTGATAAGATTAAATTCAAGCTGGAATTAAACAAAACTAAACCGCAAAAAAATGCATATAATCATTAAAGAGATATTTCTCAGATTTGTCTTGCAAATAATGATTTTAATGATTTATTTTATCCATACAATAGTATGTAGTGGCTCAGCGCTAAAACCGGGTTTCGATACCCGTGGAGAGCACAACACAGATAATCCATTGTGTAGCTTTGTGTGTATCAATTAACTAGTTTTTAAATATTCTGTGCATTATAATCGGATTTGTGAAATTTGTATTTTATATTTATGGCAAAACTACTAAAAACTATCTGTTGCCATACATAATCATGAACACTTGACAAGAGGGAAGACAGCCAATAAGCAGCAACCAACCATCAATATTTTCGACAAAGGATCTACTGTCATTCTTATAACGCACCTACAGCTTAAAATAGGGGAAATAGTTTGTGATTTCACACAGGTTCGGATCCCACTCGCCAGCTCCGAAATCCAGAGCTCTACTATAAGTCCAACCCGCTCCATGTATATAACTAGAAATATTGCTGTGTACATTCTATTAATGTATATGCTGTCTATCATATCACTTTTAAAGAGGAAATACGTCACTCAATTTAATGGTTGGTACCTCAAACTCTCGCGTCGACTATAGGGAGCTATTCTGATGAAACGTTAGCTTCTAAGTGTTTGTTCTGTTCTCAATAACGATCAAATAGTTTGTCCAATTTGTCCTTGGCTTTGCGAACGTTTTTATGAACTATGAGACTGGTATAAAAACGCTTCAGTCCTGTTTGTTTTGCTTAAACACCAATAACCTGTAAATACAAAAAATTCTTCAAATGACCTCATATTTTGAGCAATCAATAACAAGAAGTCAAATAATGTAACTCTGGTCAGTGTCTTTTCTTTCACGCGTATTTTGATACTTTTTGGAGTTAAAGATAGGTCCATTTCAATTGCTTCCATGTTCATTTGACTTTAGTCAGCGACTGTTGTTTTGGTCTTTTTAATTACGTATATCACATATATATTTTTGAAAACTAGTGGGTGTGCATCTTTCAGTCTGAGCTTCTTCCTATAACCTTTTTTTTATTATTATTTTCTAAAATAATTAGAGGTTTCATTCTCACCAAAGACAAACAAGAAGGAAAAACAGAATAAAATATCGTGAAGCAGAACAACGCTCATGCCTTACACAGTTGAAATCGTAGTGCACAGTAAGTCCGGCAGAGGGAGCCTCCCATATTTGATCATACATTTACTTAAGGCTTAAAAAAAAAGTATTAACTTTTCCTGCTGTTGAGTTTGTCCATCAGATACAAGGACAGGACGAAACAACGAGGTTAGTATAATACCAGCTGAACAGCCTTGTAGGACGTATTTTATACATCCTGAAGAACTGAAGGTAAGTTTAACACCATTTTGTAAAAAGTATTTTATATATCCCAAGGGATTGAAGGTAAGGTTAAAATAATTTTCTCCCCCGAATTAACTAATTACCTTTCATATTCTGAAAAACACGAATATTATGAGGTAAAGTTATCTGATATGCTTTGGAGTAAGTAAGTCAAATATGCCTTCGTGTTATACCCTATGCCAAATATACATTTTTAATCATTTTAATATGTTAAAAATATGTAAATGCTTCTCCAACTTGTCAGAGACTGATTCTGTACAAATTCTATTCTCCATTTAAATCTTTTTTTTTTCTCGAAAAATCCGTAAAGATTTATAGAAAATTTTCTAAGTAAACCTAACCATTAACGGGGGTTTCTTAGCTAACAGAACCGACAGTTTTATAAAATACATAGGTCAACTATAGAGACCTGCGTCAGTTTTATCATTGTTCATGATATTCAGCAAAGCCACATAAGTCAGCTATAGAAACCTGCGTCAGTTTTATCATTGTTCATGATATTCAGCAAAGCCACATAGGTCAGCTATAGAGACCTGCCTCAGTTTTATCATTGTTCATGATATTCAGCAAAGCCACATAGGTCAGCTATAGAGACCTGCCTCAGTTTTATCATTGTTCATGATATTCAGCAAAATAGTTCTTGTGAGAAGAAACTTAGTAATATCAATATAAGCCTATTTCTAATAGTAGGTGTTTGTAATTACGTAGAGCGAGAAAAGCGGTGGAATGTGCGCCATAAGCGCACCCATTACGGCCGGGTTTCAGAGCTCGCCTATAACCTTAGCAACAGACAGGAACTCAAATGAAGCGAAATAAACCAAATTTCAAATGTAAGAGACCATGAAAAGACCAAGACTCATACATACACTCTAAAAACAAACGATAACGGACTAAGCGCTAAGGTTTGTTCTAGCGTAAAGCTGTACAATAGGCTATCAGCGTCCTGTCCACCACGGGGATTTGAACCCCGGATTTTAGCGTTGTAAGTTTAAACTTACTGCTGACAAAACGTTAAGGAAGCAGACCGAAAATAACAGAAACGAACTAAACTGACGGTGATCAAATTCGATTGAACAATAAGTAAAATTTCAGTAACACGTGAAGTTATCATTCCAGAAAACAAGTATAAAAAAGAAAACACGCTGAAACTAATTCTTGACTTAATCTAATGCCAGTAAAATGGATACCATAAATAATCTCCTGATACGTCACTTTTTTTAAAGAGTTTTAACCCTGTTAAATGTAATTTTCATTTGCTTTTTATCTTTAAGATGTTTCCTACAAGGTTAGTGAAATTATCCACGAAATCAAAAGTTTGTGAAACGAAACACAACTAACCGATTAATTTATCTGTATCTTAATAGCTTATATTTGGCAGAATGGTGCAATCGTACAATTAAATAATCGTTTCCTATTGTTGTTACTTTCAGTGCAGGATTTCCTTAGCTTTAATCATTATTGCAGTACCCAAGCAGGACAGGAAGGACAGCATTCGAGGTTGAGGGCCTTAGTTACGTGAAATAGATTCTGATAGCGTTCGTGTTACTTTTCTATAGGAAAGGACTCTCTGCTGAGTGATGAGTGGAACAGAGCTGAAAGATTAGAAGAAACACACTTGGCTGTCGCCACTTGAGAGTCGTTGATGTCGACAGACAGTATATATATAGTGTCCTCGTGAAGTACAACGTAGATATAGTTAAATAGCTTGCATTGTTTAATGAATGTTTATTAGTAGAGGAGAAAAAATCTAAAGGACGTTTAATGTAAAAACATCTCGGAGAAACTGAACTAACTAATAATGCTTGGAGACGGCTTGAATGGGTAATGAAGAAAAACTTTAATATGAGTTTAACAAACAGCAAATGTACAACGTTTCGACAAGGTTTTGTCATCATCAGGTACAAGTAGTTTACACTGACACGGATATATATATATATACAGTATTGAACAAAGAGGTCACATGACCGAATATTGTTGCACGATTTAGAAGAGGTATCTTGGCACCCCGGGGTGTTGGTTTAGAGTAGGGTTGTTTTGTTCAATTAAGATGAATTCCTTGATTTTTCGTTTGTTTATGTTTGGTTCTTTGTTTAACATTACTGTGTTTTTAATAGATATACTACGTTTTTTTTTTAGTTGCAATGGTGTTAAACATGGGACGGTTTTTTTATTGTGTTCTGTGAATCTGGTTTCCAATTGTCTTCCTGTTTCTCCGATGTAGAATTCTGGGTAGTTATTGCATGTTATTTTGTAAATGACGTTGGTATTGTGTGATTCTAAATAATTTTTGTTTTTGACATTCACCACAATAAAACACAACTCACGAACAAAATTGATACTAACAAACCCAACAACAGAACATTACACTGCAGTTTACCTTTTGTCCCTGAAACCAGCTCAAGAATAATCCACACTTGGACAAAACTAGCCATTAAATACAAAATTCCTGTCAACGTGAAATTTTCTCAACGACTCGGCCCTAAATTAAAATCGTTACTAAACAAAAACTGTATGTGAATGTGGCTCTTAATGGCATGCAATTTGAATAGTAAATATATTAAGAATACAGTGTGTATTTTCACGATGGGTCCAGACTTCTGGGACACCCTGTATGTGTTCTATATTGTTGCGTAGAAAAACATATAACATCACTTCGTTAAGCTAAAATAGATATTTTGCCTCAAACACCGTGCAAAAAAGTGATGGACAAAATCCATACACATCTGGAGCTGTAACAACGTGATTCGAAGTTGCTGTCTAGCTAAAACATCACAGTGCCATCTATGGACAAATTAAAACCCCCTATTGTTAAATCTGATATGCTACAATCCTTGCCCCCCAGTGGCACAGCGGTATGTCTGCGGACTTACAACGCTAGAATCCGGGTTTCGATACCTGTGGTGGGCAGAGCACAGATAGCCCATTGTGTAGCTTTGTGCTTAATTACAAATAAACAAAGCATTATAAACCAATAGGACTAATATTTGTGATAACAATCGCGTAACTTTGAAAGTATGATACTGTATACATGTACATACAAAATAAATACAAAATTTTTGAATTTAAAAACCTGCAAATAGGAATCGTAAAAAATGTAAGGAAACAGGACTGGAGGTACTGTATAAATTTTTTACTCAAACTACAAACCCTTATTTTGGCTCCACCAAAACAACAATTGAATCAGCTCTTATTATCCAAACACATGACGCTGGAAGAGGCAAGGTGCATTGAATCAGCTCTTATTATCCAAACACATGACGCTGGAAGAGGCGAGGTGCAGTTGACTGATTGTTGTTTCGCAAGACGTGAGAAGGAAAATTTGGATAAATGAGAATAAAGAATAAATTGACACATCTAAATGAAAACTTTTTCTAATTTATTTTCTGCAACGTTTCGAGCAGACGACCTTCGTTAGGCATTAAAGACCGTGTTACAATGGAATAAGGTTCTGTCAATTTCTTTTTTATTATCATTCATCCAAGTCCTACGTAATGTTAGGTTGTTATCAAGCTGAAACAATATAGTGTTAGTTTGTTCTCAAGGTGAAACAGTATAATATTAGTCTGTTGTCAAGCTGAAATAATATAATGTGAGGCTGTTGTCAAGCTGAAACAACCTAATGTTAAGCTGTTGGGAAGCTGAAACATCTTAATGTTAGGCTATTGTCAAATTGAAACAATGTAATGTTAGATAATTGTCAAACTGAAACAACGTAATGTTAGGTTATTATGTAGCTGGAACAACGTAATGTTAGGCTGTTGTCAAGCTGAAACAACGTAATGTTAGGCTGTTGTCAAGTTGAAACAATGTAATGTTAGATAATTGTCAAGCTGAAACAATGTAATGTTAGGTTGTTATGTAGCTGGAACAACGTAACGTTAGGCTGTTGTCAAGCTGAAACAACGTAATGTTAGGCTGTTGTCAAGTTGAAACAACGTAATGTTAGGCTGTTGTCAAGTTGAAACAATGTAATGTTAGATAATTGTCAAACTGAAACAATGTAATGTTAGGTTATTATGTAGCTGGAACAACGTAACGTTAGGCTGTTGTCAAGCTGAAACAACGTAATGTTAGGCTGTTGTCAAGTTGAAACAATGTAATGTTAGATAATTGTCAAGCTGAAACAATGTAATGTTAGGTTATTATGTAGCTGGAACAACGTAATGTTAGGCTGTTGTCAGACTGAGACAACTTATTGCTAAACTTCTGTCAAGTAGAAACAACATAATGATGAGTTCTTGTGAGCCTGTACCATTGTAATTCTCAACTGTTATTAAGCCGAAACAACAGAATATTAGGCTGCTGTCAAATTAATTTTTACTTAAATCTAAAAGTCCAAAGTGGAATAACGAAATTATTAAATTACCATCAAGATTCAAAAACCTATATAATTCTAAGTTCATCAGTCTCTTGTATTTCATTAAAACAGATGTTTTGTTGTCGCTATGACATTTTACCACTTGACACCTGTGTTCCACCCGAACTCCTCTTTGTGTACTTCCAAATCCAATAGGAGACAATTGTAGTTTTTCATTAATATGTAGAGCTTACTGCATTTACTTACTTACAAGTAACTCTCATTCGCGTGGTGCCTGAAGAGGCAAGGTGCATTGAATCAGCTCTTATTATCCAAACACATGACGCTGGAAGAGGCGAGGTGCATTGAATCAGCTCTTATTATCCAAACACATGACGCTGGAAGAGGCGAGGTGCATTGAATTACCTTTTATTATCCAAACACATGATA